AAAGCATCAAACGTGTTGTAAAAGTTGGAATTCGGATGCCATTTTTTTCATTGAGCATTTTTTTAATGCAGTCTTCTATGTTGCGTAAGCCAACTAATTATTGCGAACATAATTTTGTCATCATTTTCTAACGAGTCCCACATGTAGACAACAAACATGCAATTTGTGGGTTTTGAACCGGTGTGATCTTTACCTCCACAGTCTATGTATAACTTTGGAACATTCCAGTTGACAACATTGGACATGTAAATTTGCAGCTGAAGAAACCCTCCAAAAAAGACTGGGAAATTGGGAAGCTCTTCCGTTATCGGAGCAGCAACTAGATTATGCTGCCATTGATGCTTATGTCTCTTGGTATCTCTATCAGGTGAATACCAAACGCCACTCAAGTATTATTGTGATTCGATGCCACTTAATGTTGTGTTCTAGTCATATCATCGTCACTTTACAGTGGATATCCATTCTATCATAAAGCAGAAGAGTTACTTTATTCTAATGCAGGTGATTAAGGAACTCCCGGATCACCAACTAGCTGCTGTTGAGGGGAGAGTTGAAGATATAAAGCAACAATGAAACGAAATTGTTTGATCATCATTACACATTCCATTCAGTATTAATTTATAAACGTATAGAAAATATCCCATTTTGGAGACATTTCTCAGCTAATTGAAATCGAAATAGCCGTTACATGTGGCTATATGTATTTGTCTGTTCAGTTAAGATCTCATGTGAATTACTTTTATGGAAAGCAAATAATTTGGAAAAAAATACCCATCTGAAAAATCTTGAAGTTATGCGTAGGGGCGATTGAAAAAACCAGGGGGCGTAGCTAAACACTGTACACTCATCACATCAAAGCATCTAAAGGGCCCAGTGTCATCCACGTTTTGCCCCTCAAAATAAAAGGGTCCTGTTATTTGTCGTAAATTATAGTCAGACAATTCACATCAGTATTGGCATCAACACCAAACACCTTGAAAAGACCAACCATAAATTGCAATACGCACTTTAAAGACGCAAAGATAGCCACTGCCCAAACCAAATATCCAAAAGCCAGGTGTTAGAGGATATAACGGTTTTCAGGTGAGCCGAACTCTCCTTTAAAGTCCAGGTTTATAAATTGCAGTTTGTGATTATAACGATGAATCTATTATTCAAGAGGATATTGGTAAGAACGAAGGAGCAAAGACAAGAATAACAAGAACGAGATAAAAGAATATGTGAGCGAGAAGTGATAATACGTTTCTCAAAATTTGAAATGAGGTGACAATTGGTGCGAAGTCTAAGAAAGGGAATACGATTGAATGGAAAGGAGTATGACATGAAATGTGCAAATATTTTTTTTTTTTTGGGGGGAGGGGGGAGATGAGGAGCCAACAAGTAGGGTCAGTGCGCGTGAAGTGTAGAATAAGTTTGATGTGGAAGCCAATAATACTTTATTTGATCAGTGTGAATGGCAGGAGAAGTACATTTGAAACTGATCATGAACCATGATATAATGAATCTGATGTCTCTTTAGCCCATTATACATATTGGGTGAAGTGGGTGGTCAAAGATTGGATATACGTTCTCAGGTTGGCATCAAAGCCTGCGGAAGGAACTAGAAAACAGGGAAGTTTGTGGGTCAGTTTAATCACTTTTTGTTGTTGTTAATAACGCCATTCTAGTTGCTTTAAACATAAAAGATCAGCCGGAGAATGCAAACGAACTGTGTATTCATAATTTCAGAGCTAGCTACGATAGTAACAGGTTTGGCGTGGTAAAAACTAAAAAGAGAAAGATTGGTTGGCTAAAGGGAAAAGTTAAAAATGGAAGGAAGCGAAGACGGGAGGGGTGCCGACAGAGAGAGAAGGATGGTGGAGGGCATTGAGAAGAGAAAACGACAAATGCAACAGTAAGTGGAAACGTGTTGGGAAGTGAGACGGGGAAAGTGAAATGATGTGTGGCATTTATATGATGACAATATCATACTCATAGATATATAGAGTATGTAGGAGTTACGTGAATGTGAATGAGCTCAAAAGCAACCAATTATTAGCCACGAAACTCACCCTCGTCGCTCTCAATCGGCCTCACCGTAAATCTGCAATAAATTGAATCATCCTTTGCTTTTACTGCTCTGTTGTGATTCAAGGGAACAGCAATATGCTCACATAGATAGATAGAAAGGCTTCATCTGCTTCTCAGGTTTCCAGAGTTTAACAGCCCTAAGGCTTCCCCACATTCACATTCATCCCTATTCATTCATTAAATCTCTTGGCCATTCACATCAATTAATGCATTATATATTGACAGATCCTTTGTAGTGTCCTCCAATCCATCACGAACTCCTCTGCCCCTTCTCTGCATAATAACGTGATTAGCCATTGAGGTTTTCTAATTTGGTAAATTGGATTAATTTAGAAATATTAGTTGGAAGGAGCCAAGACTAGAGAATGGATAAGTGTTGGAGGAAAATGGAGATCATTGAGTGGTAAGTGTGGAAGCACAGAAAGAAATGCGAGTGGAAGAAGCCAACCGAGTCTTCGTTGCCCCTAAAATGGATAATAAAGTCAAATGTGGCCCCACCACTCTGTCGGATTTTTCAAAAAGCAGCTTAAAGGCCAAAGCTTCTAATTATTATTATTATTTTTTTTTGAGTTTTTGGTTTTGTTTCTTACTGAAAAAAGAGGACTAGTTTTGGGCATAGAATCTGTGAATTCACTTTTAAGCTTGATGCGGTGGTTAAATTTTGCAAATTCAACAAAGGACAAAACGTGTTTCCACCAAGCGGCGCTTTCCGTGAGGTTGATTCAACAGAAAGCAAGACCTAAATATATATAAAATATTTGTTTCAAATTTGTATGTTTTGATGCAGCAATTCACATAATAATAATTAATTAATGGGAACCAAAACATACTTAACCCCACTTAATTAGGATCAGCAATCCAATTCAAAAGAAGACTGCAACAAAGTCAAAGGTAGCTCTGCGTTGTGTTACTTTGGTTGGAAGTAGATCCATTCTAAACACAAGTGCCGACTAAAATGGGATTTAAGCAAAAGAAAACATTTAGAGGAAAACCATTATTAATGCCCCATGAAAGGCCAGACCTAATTAGAATCAGATTTTGTGACCCCAGTGAATGCTCTTGTTCTGCGAATAATGCATGATGAGATTCGCAGTAATCATTAGGTTGCTCAACTCCCATGTAATTCTTGATCAGACTTTATATTTTATTGGTTTGTCTTGCGATTGATGAGATATTGAAAATGAAATCGCATTAAAACGAATATGGATTGATGATTCGCACAATATATTATATATATATATATATATAATGGTCTTCATTATTGGTATCTGTGGTCTCAGACATTCCCAAAGCCAAAAATATCAGCAGATTAAAGCCCAATCAATGATTTCGTGAATATACATACATATATATGCCACATTATATATATATATTTGATATATTTTACTCAATTATTACTTTAGATATAAGATTTTAATTCTCTCTGTATCTCTCAGGTTTATAATTTTTCACAAATTATTTATATTAATTACACACAATTAAAGGAAGATTTTTATGAATGGACACATTATTTAATTGATATAAATTAATTATCTAACTTGTTGTAGGCAGTATATTAATTACCATGAAAAACGAAGAAAAGAAAAGGAAGTGGTGGGGATGTGATGAAAATGGGAAAAAGTTAAAGAGGACATGGCCCTCCACAAGGCACCCGATGCCCTGTGTGTGTGGTGTGTAATAGACTAATAGTACGTGAAGGTTCCTGGAGATTTCGCATATTGTTTGGTGAGGGAGTGGGCCCATCCTGCAATTCAATAAAAGAGCCACACACACGCGCGCGCCCTTTTAACTAGGGAAAATTACACTCAAGTCTCACAGAGCACAATTAATATTAAAAAGGTCCCTTGAAATCGCAAAATGATTCTGAAGTCTTCAGGGACCTGTGTAATTAATTCTAATTGTGAAATTACGTAGTTACCCCTGTTAATTTGAACCTATTTACAACCTCAACAGTGGCTGTTAACAACCGAGAAGAGGTGGTTAACAACTCAACAACGCCCCTGGTATTCCATAGAGTGAGTTGTCATGAGCACTGCCGAGGTTGTCAATCACGTCTTCTCGGGTTGTTAACAGCCACTGTTGAGATTATAAACGAATTGTTGCAATAAAATTAACAGGGATAAGTAGGTAATTTCACAATTAGAATTAATTACACACAGGTCCCTGGGGACTTCAGAATCATTTCAAGATTTCGTGGGACTTTTTTGATATTAATTATGCTCTGTGGGACCTGACTGTAATTTTCCGTTTTAACTATTACATCATCCTTCATCACTTCTCTTTATCAACACCAACTCAAAGCGGGCTCCCTCTTTTACACCAATGCTACTAAAAACACACATCTGAACTGTGGATTATCAGCCAGAGAGTGGCCTCATTAAAAGAGTGTGCCAACTTAATGTTTTGAGATGCTCCTGCAAGCAAACTATATGCTACCTCCCATACTTAATATAAAAATTTATTTAATTTTTTAATTTTAAATATAGATCCTAATTTATTTTATTTTTTTATATTTATTTATTTTTTTAAAATAGTTATGTAATATGGTAGTGCTATAATCAGTACACTTGATTGGTAAGAGTATTTCAGGAAAAATAAAACTTATTTATACAAATAACAAACTAACTAGTTTTTTTAATCTAATCAAATTAGTCAACTAGCTCTTATATTAAAAACAAGAGAGTGGTAGTATGTTTATAATAATAAATATGCGTTCAAATATTTGGGATTGGTTATCTGGATCAGTACGTATATAGGGGTGTTTGGATAAAATCAAAATCATTGTTTTAAAAATGTTTTTCAATATACAAAGTAAATATGTGAAAAGAGTTTGTTTCGTTTTAAAAAAAGTGCTTCTTGGTTGCTCCAAACACCCCCGTATATATGTGGAACACACATCATTTCAGCATTGCATGTGCTCCACGTGAAACCCTTATGTACGTGTATCCGTCCATTACCCTAGCATGCTTTCACTTCATATTTTGTCCCTTTTTTTCTTGTTTGTTTTACATCTTTTTTAAATTCCACATATTAAACTATTTAACATAAGTTAAATTTTGATTGTGGACATTCATCTTTAAAATAACTCTCTCATTCATTCTCTTCCCAAGCGTCTACCTCTACGTATTAGATATATATATATATATATATATATGGATTTTTTCTTATGTGATCGATCTCGTTAGATATTTATTATAGTATTTGACCAGATGAACGGAATATCAATAAGAAAACACGCACAATATTGAAATAAACTAAACATCAACCGAAGTCAAAGTTTAACTAACTCCATCTTCCTGCCCCAGCACCGCTGATCCATGTATCAGTACGGGACTACCAATCATTAATCAATATTACTTTAACAGCGTCTCAATATATAATATCAACTTATTCAAAAAGTAGTGCGTTTTATCAATTATAATCGGCGTATTGCCTCTAAAGTAAAGGAAAAAAATTTTAAAAAAAAAGCAGAGAGAATTATAATTTTTTGGAATATAGAGAATTAAAAGAGGAATGTAGAATATAGAAAAGTGGCTCATATTGATCAGTGACTTTCGGAGGCGTCGGTGATACCTAATCACATGCAGTGTTTAGTGCTGCTCCCTCCTTATTATCCCTCTAATCATTCATGCTTCCATCCCGTTTCTATATCTAAACCCTTTCAATGATATCCCTCTCTCTCTCTCTCCATATATATATATATA